TTTTGTTTACGCCTTTAAAAAAAAACCTTACAACACAGTTCATATCACCAAAAATCTCTGTAATGGAAGCCAGTGATGATACATGAAGCAGAAATGGCAAGAAAAACACAATCACATAATCACACCTAGAGAGAGAGAGAGAGAGAGAGAGAGAGAGAGATAGCAAAGAAGGCAGGTGAGGGGAAGAGAAGAAATCTCTCACTGGGGTGATGCAATAGAACACCTTACAACCACATCAGCCAGAGTTAACTCTAGAGGAAACATTGACATACCAATATGTTCACTGCCTCAGTATAGGTACGTATATACAGTAGATAGTGAAAGGTTTAAGCTGCTGAATTGTTTAATCTCCCATCCTAATTATATTATATTATTATTATTAAAAAATACAGATTGGGCTATCCAAGTGGCACCATTTTAGGAACCTTTAATTTTAAATTTAAAACTTAAAAAAGGTAAAACTCAAAACTAGGACATTCCAAAAAATAAGAAAAAGGAAGTTGCTTGGGCAATTTTTGCGACTGGAGGAAAAGTCAAAAGAATGTGAGTCTTAAAAACAGGGGAAACCCCTCCCCCCATATCAATATGTTTTGCAGAATGAACAAAGGCCCAATTAAACCCGTCGTGGAAAGAGCAACGATCAACATTAGAAGTGACACTAAACAAAGCCAGAGACGTTATCACACACGCTTTTGAACACACACAAAAAGTGAGATGACACAAGGAAGGAGACAGCATGGAGGAGGAAGTCAAGAAAGGGAGTTTGGGGAAAGCCACCTTCTCAGGACAGAGGAAAAATTTGAGGGAGGGGGGGAAAACACAGAGGGATGGGAAGATAGCAGTTCAAAGGGGAGAGGTGTTCTGCAGAGTGGACCAGGTGTGGTTTGGAGGCTGGTATAAGCTCTTATTTCAAGAAGCTGTGCTTGATAAGGTAGCAAGGAGAGGACTTCCCTATAGGTCAGCAAGAGTCAGTCACAATTAAATGGTTGTGGAGATTCTTGTCACCCAGGTCATAGTTGTCCCAAAAGGTGCTTTGTTCAAAAGGCAACTGGACTTTGTTTTCCCCTTGAAGAGGTTTTGCTTCTCATTCAAGAAGCTTCCTTTGTTCTGACTGAATGGTGGGGAATGGAAGGATTCAGTCAGAAGGGAAGAAGCTTCCCAGATGAGAAGCAAAACCTCTTCAGGGAAAAACAAAGAAAGTCCAGTTGCCAATTGGAAAAAGCACCTTTGGGACAACCATGACCTGGGATGACTGAGACTCTCCACAGACATTTGGTTGAAGTGGGTCTTCTTGTCACCACTGATGGATTTGGAACATCTGGTGGGTCAAGAAACAACGGACCTTTATTCAAGAACTTGTAGCATAACATTCATATACCTGGATCTTCTCAGATATTTTGAAAAAGGGCTATAGCATGATTTTTGAAAAATCTTTAGGAGTGTCTATGGAGATTCTCGGTCATCCAGGTCATGGTTGTCACAAAGGTGCTTTTTCCAAAGGCAGCTGGATTTTGTTTTTCCTTGAGGTGGTTTTGCTTCTCATCCACTGAAGCTTCTTCAGTTCTGAGTGGTTAATTGTCCTCACCATTAGGAAATTTCTCCTTCGTTCCAGGTTGCTTCCCTCCTTGATTAGCTTCCATCCATTGGTTCTCGTCCTGCCTTCCAGTGCTTTGGAAAACAGGTTGACCCGCCCTCATCTTTGTGGCAACCCCTCAAATATCCTCCAGGGTTGTAGGAGTGGATTGGGAGAGAATAGGACAGGGCAGAGGAAATTAGCATGTTCCCCAGGGAGAACATGTTCAGGGAGCACTGAGTTTGGGGGCAGGTGGCCTCGAAGTCAAGAGAAAGGTGAGGAGACAGATGGAGATGATGGAAGACAGAGCAGAGCGGAGGAAGCAAGCATGAGCTGAAGACTCCAAGCTAGACAAGGACTTACCTATCAACACCTCCCACTTTCCACTGGCTTGCGTCACCTCGTAGGCGCAGCGCATCTCGCTCAGAGCGACCCCACCCAGGATGAAAACAATGAGGCGAGGACCACTTCGGTATTCCCCAGGAGCCTTGTTCTTGTGCCAGTGTCCATAGCGGGCACTGAAGACCAGGAGTAAGGATAAAAAGGGGGAAAAAATAAGGATATGATCTGGAAGAGCCTCAGTGGTGCAATAATTAAATGCAACATTGCAAGATAAAGATAGATAGATAGATAGATAGATAGATAGATAGATAGATAGATAGATAGAT